CTGACAAAGAATGATTGATGAAGGATTTGGATTTTGGTTTTTTGTTAACTTAAGAGATGAGTTATGGGGAGAAGAGAGATGACGATACACTATTAAAACTGTTTTTACCTACTTGGATGAAGGGGAAAGTTACCTTTTTCCCCCCTTTTTCTTTTCCCCTTTTTTTTCCTTTTCTACACTCTTCCCCCCTCCCTTTTTTGGGTTTTTCTGTTTGTTTGGGTTTTTTTTGTAGTTTGTATTGACTTTTATTCTTTTCATTTATAATTCTTAATAAAATTATTTGAAAAAAATCATCTGCTACTTGCAACTGATGATAGTTAATCTAGAATTATTATTGTCATTATTGATGGTAATGTTTCTTTGATGTTGATTAAAATACTAATATAATAGCAGAAAGAGTTTAGAAATGATGAAAGACTAAATGTTTTAGTTTAATTGGAAACAATTAAATCTGAAGTAAACAGGTTCATCTTAGATAATAAATTAACACTTCAATTGGAATAAAGCAAGAACTGTTCAATTAAGAATTGCTGAATAAGGAAATATATTATGATTTCACACTCAGTATCTAAACATAAATAATTATCTGGTTTTCTTTAAAACTTTTAATATATGTCTAAGTTTCTTGCAAATTGTAGTGTAGAAAGAAATGAGCATAGCAATAAGTGGATCCTAACTGCACTTAAGGCCTTTTAGCTGTAAATACAAAGCTATTACGAGATCCATGATTCTGTGGCCAGTATATAAGAATACTTTACTAAACTTAGCAAGTCTCCTGTTTGTATTATTTAAGCCTTCAGAGGTCACTATATGCTTACTAGTTTATAGAAAGTTACAGTACAACTCTCTGGTGCATAGAAAGGGTATTTTCAGACTTGCAAGATTTATTATAATCTTACAATAATGTAGCCTTACAATAAAGATAGAGGTAGCACTCCTGGCTGTGCTTCTTGTCTGGACTACCTTGCAAGGCTAACATCAATCTTGCCAGTCTCAAAGTACCCCCCCCATCCCTCACTTTTAGTCTCCTGAAAACTAGGGAGAGTCCCTCAAATTTTATTCATCAGGCCATTGACTAGGCTGCAGCTCTTCCTCCTATTTCCCAAGGTCATTCCCGCATGCCATTACGTAAACAAATAAATAATAATAGGGCCTGCCGAAATGAGTGTGCTGTGCAGAAGTGTTATCACAGTTCATATCACAATTTAAATTCAACAATATTGATGTGGTAGTTTCTGCATTGTATCCTCTCCTAAACATTTATTATAATATCTATGTTTTAAAATACCAGGTACTTTTTTTTAGTGTTCTCTGTTAATTGTAGCTTTTCTATGCTAACCTAATTTGTGGTGCCTACTTCATCTTATACTTTTTCTTAATTATAGGAAGCTCCACCTCCAGGTTCCTATGATGTTCATAAATCATTTGAGAAATCACAGTGTAAGAGTGAATATATGCCTCCACGAACTGTGATGGCTAAAAGGAGGCATGCGTCTTTTCTCAGTGGAACACTTAGGGAAAATCCATTAAAGATTGAGGGGGATATACCAGGTAAGTTCATTATATAATTTTCAAGCAAAACTATAACTACTTACATTTTAATGAGAAGATATATAATCTAAATACCTTTCTGTCTGTCTGTCTATCATCTATTTTTAAAGGCTTTGTAAGGTGTCTGTTGTAATACTGGAAACAATATCTTGCTTCCTAGCTGGTTAAAGAAATGTTGTTATGTAAGTTTATTCCCCCTCAGCAGAGGGCAGCACCTGGCTAACCTTGCTGTACCTGGAAGCTAAACAGGTACAGATATTGGTTAGTTCTTGAATGGAAAACTTTCAGGTAATGTAAATGTTATAGGCTAGGCTGGGAAGTTGGGCAACTAGCCACTTTTGTATTGTTGCCAAGAAAACTACTTGAATGTATCCATGTAATCACTGGGACTTCAGCTTGACTGGAATTTTATAGAATTACAGAATTTTTATGAAATTATAGAGTTTTAAGAATGTTATCTTTTTTTTTTTTAATAAATTTTTTATTTTTTACAACAAACACAAACAAACAATAACATAAAAAGCATAAAAAAACCATCTTCCATTTTAAACCGTGTGTCAGCCAGTTACTGATCATTTGTGCCATCCTTTCATAATCTTCGCTCATCATTTATATAAAATCTCATGTCATCTATCCAACACATATTTATATATTTATCAGTTATCAATTATTATTCATTTGTTACTAGTCTAACACCAGCTTTCATAATAAGATATCATTTTTATCCATTGATTATATATATATATATATATATATATATATAAT